AAACCGTCTCACTCTCTTCAATGTCTTAAAGATGTTTTTTTTTCTTCTGCTCTATGCTTTTTATAATTTTATTGTCAGGAAAAATTCAGTGAAATTCTTTGTTCTTCTCAACAATATTAAAAACATTGGAAAAAAAATTATTTATTTTTTTCAATTTTAATAATCAATTAATTGACAATTTTTTTTAAATATTTATTTGTATTAAGTAATTATTTATTTCAATCAATTAAATTTTATTTCCTTCCAAATACAGAAATTATTGGTTTAATGAAAAATTTATTGAAATTTACTGTATTTAATTGTAATTAATTAATTTATCGTATTTTAATTTATTGTAATTACAATTTAAATAAAAAATTATTTGATTTAAGTAAATATTTATTTGGCACAAGTAAATATTTCTTTGGTTTAAGTAAATGTTTATTTGACTTAAGTAATTATAAATTTGGCACAAGTAAATATTTGTTTGGCTCAAGTAAATATTTAATTGGTTCCAATAAATATATATTTGGCTCAAGTAAATGTATATTTGGCACAAGTAAATATTTCTTTGGTTCAAGTAAATTATTATTTGGCTGAAGTAAATATTTATTTGGTTTAAGTATAAATATTTATTTAGTTCAAGTAAATATTTATTTGGCTCAATTAAATATATTTGGCGCAAGTAAATATATATTTGGCACAAGTAAATATATATTTGGCACAAGTAAATACTTGTTTGACTCAAGTAAATATTTATTTGGCTCAAGTAACTGTATATTTGGCACAAGTAAATATTTGTTTGGTTCAAGTAAATATATATTAGGCTCAAGTAAATTTATATTTGGCACAAATAAATATTTCTTTGGTTCAAGTAAATTTTTTTTGGCTCAAGTAAATATTTGTTTGGTTTAAGTAAAAATATTTATTTAGTTCAAGTATATATTTATTTGCCGCAAGTAAATGTTTATTTGGCGCAAGTAAATATTTATTTGGCACAAGTAAATATATATTTGGCACAAGTAAATACTTGTTTGGCTCAAGTAAATATATATATATATATATTTGTCATAAGTAAATATTTATTTGGTTCAAGTAAATATTTATTTAATTCAAGTAAAATAATAGTTATTAATAAAGAATAAAAGTAAATTTTCTTTCTCAGTTTATATTTAACACATATATATAACGTTATTTTGAGTAGTTACGATGATAAAGATTTTTTTTTCTAATCCAAAAAAAAGAGAAATCAATTATACACAAATATAATATTTTTTTTCGAAAAAAAAATGTGAGAATCAAAAGGAGAATATAATATAATTTACCATGAAAGTTACCATGAAAATGTAATGTGATAATTGATTTTTTTTTCTCAATGAGAATTTTTTTTTCGTTTTTGTAGTTGGAATTTAAAATTGTTTCCGATGGATTTTGGAATGTGTCTTGTATATATATATATATATATATATAATAAAGAAGGGGGGACGCGTCATCACCCAAAGGCAATAAGCTACAAGTTGCAGACAAAGGTTTCTTTAAACTCCCTTTACTTGAATTATTCTTCTTTTCTAATTTACATTTTCATTTCTGTGCCATATTTTACATGAGAGGAGGCCTTACACACCATTGCATTGTTTCCTTTTATCATAAAAACGTTTCTTCAAGTGCTACGAAAGAGTAAGTGACCGAGTGACGTTTCCTACTTGTCAGGTGCACATAGCATATATAAGACTTTAAAAAAAAAATTTTTTTTTTCTTCTTCATTCCGATCAAAATTCTTTGCGGTTGGAATTTTTTCTTTTCATTCAAATTTTTTTTTTTTATTTATGAATTTTTAAACGGGTTAATGGAGATTTAATGATTTTTGAGTTATTCAATGATTTCTAAGTTGTTTTATGATTTTTATGTCGTTCAATGATTTTTTAAAACCACTCAATTATTTTTATGTCATTTTATGATTTTTATGTCGTTCAATGATTTTTCAAAACCACTCAATTATTTTTATATCATTTTATGATTTTTAAGTCGTTAAATGATTTTTCAGTCATACAATGATTTTTAAGTCAAAAATGATTTTAAACTTAAGATGATTATTAGTCGTTCAATGATTTTAAATTTATTACATGATTTTTTAAGTCGTTCAATGATTTTTCAACTATTCAATGATTTTTAACTTATTTTGTGATTTTTAAGTCGTTTAATGATTTTTCAGTCATTGAAATGATTTTTAAGTTAAAAATTATTTTAAACTTCTATGAATTTTAAGTCAATCAATGATTTTTCAGTCATTCAATAATTATTATACGTCATTTTGTGATTTGTAAATCATTTGGAGGTTTTCCAGTTATTTTCCAGTTCAATGATTTTTAAGTCATTAGATGATTTGTAAGTAATTTTGTGTGTGTTTTTTTTAAACGTCATTAAATAATTTTCAATTTTTTTAAATCATTGAGTGATTCTTAAGTCATTAAATTATTTTTGTCATTGAATGATTTTTAAGTAATTCAATGATATTTAAATTATTAACTGATTTTTAAGTCATGCAATTATTTCTAAATTATATTATTTTCAAGTAATTCAATGATTTTTAATCCATTTAATGTTTAATGTTTCTTAAGTCATTTAATGATTTTTAATTCGTTTAATGATTATTTATTAATTTAATGATAATTAACTTAATTTATTAACTTTTATTCCCATAATAAACATAATTCAATGATTCTCAATTAATTTAATGATCATTCGATGACACTTAATTTATTTCACAAACCGTCAATGATCTTGAAATTAATTTCACTAACATTCAATGATTTTTCATTTAATTTAACGAACATCCAATGATTCTGAATTAATTTAAAAAGAAACATTCAATTACATTTAATTTATTTTTTTTTTTTTTTTACAAAGAGCCAATGATTTTGAAATTAATTTCAACGACATTCCAAATGATTTTTAAGTCGTTAAATTATTTTTCTCAATCATTCAATGATTTCTTTTTTAGTCATTTTGTGATTTTTAACTTTTATATAGTTAAATTTTATATGCAATTAATGAATATTTATAATGAATCTTAAATTGACTTTTTTTTATTGTAATTTTTTTTTTAAATGAAATTTTTAATTAATTTCATATAACAAAAATGATTTTTAAGAAAAAATTTTTTGTTTGTAAAATTATTGCAAAACATTTTTTCAAAAATTATTGATGATTTTTTTTTTCTTCTTTCGCAATTATCGTTCTAAAAGTGCATAAGGTATTGATTACTTAAGAACGATTTATTTTCGGACTTTTCTCTGAGACAAAACTGTACATATATTATCACCAAAGATAGACCGTATTTTTTTTTTTTTTTTTTTTTTTTTTTTTTTTTTTTTTTTTTAATAAATTACACAAAACGTTTTTTTTTTTTTTTGAAAAAATTGTTATGCAATTTAATAAACATAAGTTATAATTTTTTTGCGACAAAAATTTATTTTTCTAATTTGCTTTTAACAAAGTAATTTTTACGGTGTTTTTTTTAAATCTTTTTTTACTTTTCAAAAAATATTTATATTTTTTGTTAATTTAAAAATAATTTTTTGGCTCTTTATAAAAGAAGTAGTTTTTAGATATAATACTTTTTGAAAATATATATTATTTGGATTAAGTTACATTTTGGAAATATTACTTTTTGGAAAGAGTAAAATTTGGCAAAAGTACTTTTTTGTAACAATACTTTTTTGGAAAAAATACTTTTTGGAAACAAAATATTGTTTTTTTTTTGAAATATTAATTTTTGGATAGAGTAAAATTTGGCAAAAAGTACATTGTGGAAAAACAACTTTTTTCGTAATATTATTTTTGAAAAAAAAAAATACTTTTTCTAAAGAATACAATTTGGAAAAGTACTTTTTTGGAATTATTACTTTTTGGCAAAAATTAAATTTCGGAAAGAGTAAATTTTGACAAAAATACTTTTTGAAAACAGTATTTGTAGGAAGAAATACTTTTTGGAAAAAGTATTTGTTGGCAGAAATACTTTTTGGAAATATTACTTTAAAAAAAAGAGTAAAATTTAACAAAAGTACTTTTAGGGGGAAAAAATATTTTTTTGGCAATATTATTTTTTGGGTAAAAATAATTTTGGGAAAAAGTACTTTTTTTTGGGAATTATTACTTTTTAATAAAAATTACATTTTGGGAACAATATTTTGTTGGAAATATTACTTTTTTGAAATATTAATATTTGGAAAAATAGACTTTTGGGAAAAAATATTTTTTGGAAAAAGTATTTTTCGGAAATTTTTTTTTTAGAAAAAATATACTTTGAAAAAGTACTTTTTGAAAAAAATAATTTTTTGGAAATATTACTTTAGGGAAAGGGTAAAATTTTGGTAAAAGTACTTTTTGGATAAAAAAAAATACTTTTTAGAAAAAAAATGACACTTTGGAAAAATCACTTTTTCGTTCCCAAAAAATTTGTTTTTCGTAATTAAAAAAAAAAAATAATAATCTAATTTACCAGCAAAAAAAAAAAAAAAGAAAATTTTACTGTCATTTTTTTTTTTAATCACACAATTTTTCTTACATTTAAAAAAATAAAGTCCACAATGGCAATAGACGAGGGGGTTGAGGAGAGTTCAAACGGGGGGTGGGGGTTGTTAATTCTCCTGCCGGTCACTTGTCATCTCTCAAAGCGACACGTGCAAAAACGTATATACGTCGAACCTCACTAGTTGCACTTGTTTCGACAATTTTTAAATTGAAAATACAATTCAAAAATATTTATATATATATATAGAACACTTGCCAATAAAAAAAAACGAGTTAAAATCACTTTTTAAAAAATGTGACTCAAAAAATTTCACTTTTCACACGTGAATATTTCTTCCCCGGGCACTTTTTTTTCGAAATTTTCTCTTTTTCTATTCAATTTTTTTTTCCTCACTTATACCACAAAATTTATTTATTTTCGATCACCATTTTTTTTGGGGGGGAAAAATTTTTTTTTTCTTGGTAAATTTTTTTTTCACTTCACTTACCTAACCAGCTGATGAAGGGTGATCAAACAAAAGATCCTTTCAGAATTGGTTCTCCTTCAAGTCTCGATTCTTTAATTATTAATTTTCTTTTTTTTTGGGGGAAAAAAAAAAATTAAATGTAACTTTTAATAGTTTTTCACTAAAATATTATTTTTTTTTTTGGGGGTAAAAAAAAGGGAACGAACTAATAATTGTGAAGGATCGAACGGCACTTTTAGACAATGTCATCGGTGTAAATTTTTTTGTTTTTTTTTATTATTATTATTTATATGTATTAGGGATGGATCGTAATCGTGATCTCGCACCCTTCACACACACCGCTTGTTGGGGCGTGCGATTTTCCCAAGTTTTACGCCACCGCCGCACTGAACAGAAGTGAACTACTCGTGCGCCGCCGGTTCACAGTACCTTAAATACCTTGCCCGCGCCGCCGCTGTTCGGCCCCTACCTTCCGCTAGAGTGGCGCTGATTGGCGGGGGAGAAGCGCAATGTCCGCGGGTACAGAAGAGGCTCCTTCTCTTCTTCTTCTTCTTCTTCTTCTTCTTCTTCTTCTTCCTCTTCCTCTTCGTCTTCATCGCCGTCTTCTTCTTCCACTTCTTCTCCTTCTTATCCTTTTTCTCTTTTTATCCTTTTTCTCTCTTTTTATCCTTTTCCCCTTTTTTTTTAATCCTTTCTCTCTTTTTTTTATCATTTTTCTATTTTTTTTTTGGGACGCATGATTTATATGTTCTAAAAATCATTAGTTAAAATTTTCAAATTTTTTTTTATAAAAATTTCATTTGTCATATAATTAATTTTAAGCTGAATTTTTATTTCTTAGAATTAGAATTTTTGTAGAATTTTCATCAAAACAAATTTTCTATATTAAAAATATTAAGATGCTATTTACTAATATTGACATATAATTATTTCTGGCACAAATTTTATTTCTAGTACAAAACAATTTTAGAACAAAATTATTTCTGATACAAAATAACATTAATCTATAATTATTTCTAGTACCAGAATATTTATGGTACAAAAATATTCCTATTAAAAAAAAAAAAAAAAAAAAAAAAGAACTATTCTGGTACAAAATAATATTGACACAAAATTATTTCTAATATAAAATTCTTTCTGGTATAATATAACATTAGCATATAATTATTTCTGGTACAAAAAAATTCTAGTACAAAAATTATTTTTAGTACCAAATAATATTGACACAAAATTATTTCTGGCACAAATTTTATTTCTGGTACAAAAAAAATTTTTAGTACAAAATTATTTCTGGTACAAAATAACATTAACATATAATTATTTCTGGTACAAGAATATTTATGGTACAAAAATATTCCTAGTAAAAATAATTATTCTGGTACAAAATAATATTGACACAATATTATTTCTAGTATAAAATTCTTTCTGGTACAAAATAACATTAGCATATAATTATTTCTGGTACAAAAAAAATTCTAGTACAAAAATATTTCTGGTACATAATAATATTGACATATAATTATTTTTCTGGCATAAATTTTATTTCTGAAACAAAAAAATTTTAGTACAAAAATATTTCTGGTACAAAATAACATTAACATATAATTCTTTCTGGTACTAATTAATTTTTGATACAAAATTATCTCTGGTACAAATTTTTTTTTTCTTTTTTGCTACAAAAATAATGTTCTAAAATTTGTTTCTGGTACAAGAATGTTCCGCGTACAAAGTAATATTAACACATAATTATTTCTGGTATAAAATTCTTTCTGGTTCAAAATTATTTCTGTTACAAAAATATAATACTGGCATATAATTACTTTTTGATACAAATTTATAATTGGTACAAAAATTAATTTCTGGTACAAAAATAATTATGGTACAAATTTATTTCTGGTACAAAAATAATTATGGTACAAATTTATTTCTGGTACAAAAATAATTATGGTACAAACTTATTTCTGGTACAAAAATAATTATGGTACAAATTTATTTCTGGTACAAAAATAATTATGGTACAAATTTATTTCTGGTACAAAAATAATTATGGTACAAATTTATTTCTGGTACAAAAAGTAATTCTGGTACAAAAATTATTTCTGGTCGAAAAAAAATTGGATGCAAAAATTATTTTGGTACAATTATATTTCCATATAACCGATTTTTCACACTACAGAATTATTAACTTAACCGAAAAATGATTTAAAAGAATTTTTTAATTGATAGAATTTTCATTTTGTCCGAAATTGCAAATGGCCGAATAAACAATCGATTTTAGCGCGATTTTTAAAATCAACCAATCACAATTTTATGGATAATTTTTAATTGGTTGAATTTTAAAAAATCGCGCCAAATACGATTGATTTTTTCGGCCATTTGCAATTTCGGACAAATGAAAATTCTATCAGAAATTCTGTTAAATTGATTTTTCCGTTAAGTTAAAAATTCTGTAGAAAAATCGGTTTTAAAGGAAATTCAATCAAATAATAATTCGAAAAAATGAAAATTCTTCTGAAAGAATAAAATAAAAATTCTATACAATGAAATTCTATCTAATAAAAATTCTTTAAAATGTCCTCTATTATGTTAAATGAAAATTCGAGGAAATAAAAATTCTGATAAATAAAAATTTTGTGATGTGAATTTTTGGTAATATAAAAATTGTGTAATATAGAAAATCGTTTTGATGAAAATTATGCAAAATACTAATTCGAAAAAATAAAAATTCGATTAAAAAATAATTATGATAAATGAAATTCCATGAAATGAATATTCTAATTTAATAATTTTTGGAACATAATCATGCCTCTCATTTTTTTTTTAACCTTTTTAACCTTTTCTGTTCTTATTCTTTTTTTTTCTTCTTCTTCTTCTATTTCTCCTCTTTTTTTCGTCTCGATTGCAGAAGAGTGCAGAAAGACGTTGAGTTTCGAGAAGAAAACATATATAGAACGATGTGTGTGCGCCAAATAACGACCGCGACGTCTTTTTCTTTTTCTATTAACTTTTGCGACGCTGCCGATCGGGATATCTTCTTACACCCCACTTCATATTCACCCTTCACACACGCAATTCTCTCTCTCTCTCTCCCCCCCCTCTCTCCCCCCCCTCTCTCTCTCTCTCTCTCTCTCTCTCTCTCTCTCTCTCTCTCTCTCTCTCTCTCTCTCTCTCTCTCTCTCTCTCTCTCTCTCTCTCTCTCTCTCTGTTCTATGGGTGAATGATTATCCCATAAAAATCAATTAATTAAAATTTTTATTTTAAAGAATTTTATTAGAAATCAATTATTTTTTTGTACGAATTTTTTGATTTTAAAGAATTTTAGTAAAAATCATTATTTTTTTAGACGAATTTTTTATTTTAAAGAATTTTATTAGAAATCAATCATTTTTTACACTGTAAAAAGAAAATACTAAAATAGTACCAATTTTAGTTATCAAAATAAAACCAAATCACAATTTAGTACCTAAACTAGCGGTATTTAAATTAGTATCTTTCGTTTTACGCAGTGTAGACGAATTTTCCTTTTTTTTTGAATTAGCGTTTTTAACAGAATTTCTACAAAAGAAATAAAAATTCAAGAAAAAATCATAAAATTGTTACGGAATGACCCACAAAAAAATTTTTAAAAAACGATTATAACTTCAAAAAAAATAAACGAATCGTTCTGAAATTTAGTAATTATATTCTTTGCTATGTATGACGCTCTTTAAAGCCGAAAAAAATACAAATTTAGGAGAAAAAGCGTAAAATTGTTATGGAATGACCCAAAAAAAAATCCAAAAAACAATTATAACTTCTAAAAAAAATTAACGTATCCTTATGAAACTTGGTAATTACATTTTTTGCTATAAATGACGTCCTTTCAATGCGAAAAAATACAGACTTTGGAAAAAAGAGCGTAAAAATATTATGGAATGTTCGCAAAAATACCCCCCCAAAAAAAACTATTATAACTTCTAAACAAATTAACAGATCGTCACGTTTATTTGTTTCGAAGTTATAACTGTTTTTTGAATTTTTTTTTTTTTGGGTCATTCCATAACAATTTTGGAATTTTTTATCTAAATTTGTATTTTTCGCTTTTAAAATTCGCTTTTTTTAATTTTAATTTTTTTTTTTTTTGACATTTATAGTTCCATTTATAGTAAAGACCAATAATTACTAAGATTTATAACGATCCGTTTATTTGTTTCGAAGTTATAACTGTTTTTTGGATTTTTTTTTGGGTCATTCCGTAACAATTTTGGAGTTTTTTTTTCTAAATTTGTATTTTTCGCTTTTAAAATTTGTTCTTTATAGTAAAAATCATAATTACCAAATTTTTAGAACAAATCGTTAAATTATTACAAAGTTATAGATGTTTTTTGGATTTTTTGTGGGTCGTTCTATAACAATTTTACACTTTTTTTCCTAAATTTTTATTTTTTCGCCTTTAAAGGATATTATTTATAGCAAAGAATATAATTACAAAGTTTTATAACGATCCGTTTGTTTGTTTCTAACTTATAACTAATTTTTAAATTTTTTTTTTTGGGTCATTCCGTAATGATTTTTCGCTTTTTTTCAAAATTTGTATTTTTTCGTCATGCAAGGGTGTAAATCATAGCAAAAAACATAATTACCAAATTTCATAAGGATACGTTAATTTATTTAGTAGTTATAACAGTTTTTTGAATTTTTTTTTGGGGTCATTCCATAACATTTTTTCGCTTTTTTTCTAAATTTGTATTTTTTTGCGTTTAAAGGATGTTATTCATAGCAAAAATCATAATAATTAATAATAATTAAGTTTTAGAAGGTATAACACAAAATATAATAAAAAATTATTTTTATTATTATTACTAGAATAGGAAAAGACTAGTAAATATATATATATATATATATATATATATATATATTTTTTTTTTTATATTCTTTTTCTTCCTAGACCTTTTTCAATGTCAATCAAGGTCACTTCCTTTGTACAGCAGAAATTTAAATTGCGCGTTTTATAATTCAATTAGTGACGATTTTTTCTTTTTATATTCATAATCAATAATTTGCCATGCACAATGTTATTATGTGCAAATTGCAATTTTATATTTTCATCGGAATTGTTTCTTTGAAATGAGAAAAAATAAGACAATTTTCAATTTTGAATTCTATATTATTTAGCGTGCATTAGAAAATAAAATTTTATTTATTCAAATAATAATTGGTTATTTAACTATTATCACATTAATATTTACTTGAATCAAATAATTTTTAATTGTACTGATTTTCTATAGTATAAAAGTTTTTCTATTACCGAAAATTCACTTTACAGAATTTCTAATATTTGTTTAAAATTTTTATTTGTTAGAATTTTCATTTAATCGATTTGACATATTAGAAATTTTTTTTTGACTTAAC